CACACTAATTATCTTGTGCTACAACATGCCTAGAACTCAAGGTTCTCTCGAATTGTCAGATTTTGTTAGAGGAAAGATAGTTGGTCAAGTAGATGGTGGAATAAGTCAGTTGCAAATTTCACTAACTTGAGGTAATTTACAGTTAGAATAAAGAAACAGAGTCCCAGACCAGCATTGAACAATTATAACAACATTTATTAATCATTTCTAACTAACATCCAATATAAATCAAAACTTTGTTAAACCTTAAACACTTCTCAAACACTGTTAATCATTATACACTTTGAACGCCATTAATATAGGCTTCCCAACATTACACATAGATACACTTCTTCTTAGTTAACATAATATTCCTTTAAAGTTACCTACACTAACTGATTAAGAAAGAAACCATAAACTATACTTACAACATAGTTGGGCTGGTAAATTTGCTGATGTTAGAAACCTTCATGGCTTCGAGAACTTCGGCCAGTGGAACTTCAGAACTTCTAGAAGAACTTTCTGAATCCTGGAGGAACTGAACTTTCAGCTTCAGACACGGGTTTATAAACCATAATTTCTTAGTATTTTCTCGACCATCGAAATAGTATCCAGCACTACCCGCAAGTAGTCCTGCCACACTATTGGACGTTTTAGGGGAATTCCCGGGCTAATCCAAAACTATAACCAGAACTCTCAAGTAATTGGTTACTATTATGTTGAGTTAGCTTGTCGCCTATTTACTTGTACAGCTAAACCCATGTCCTGTAAGTGATATCACCTCAAAGTACTGCTTTCGCTTGTTAACTATGACTTTTTCATAGCTTTCCTAGTTCTAATGGGCTAGCATCAGCAATCCATTTCATTTCTAGGCAACGTTTTTATGTAACTAGGCTCCTGATCTTGTTAAACCGGCTTCCTAGTTCCTAGTTTTATTTCACAACATGGGCGTCTCCTTGTCACCTTTTTTTTTTATATGTATATATCTACTTTAACTTGAAAAACTGTTTAACTTTATTCATAAACTCTTTTAGACTAATAAAATCCTGAAGCAATTGTAAAATTTCCTCAAAAATATCCAATTGCTTCACTCCTTGCTTTTTATTTCTTACATGTTTGTTACTAGAAACCTTTAGTCTGCACCATGTTCCAAAGTTCTGTATGGCATGCATGCTTAAATACATTTACCTTTTGTTTAGATGGCTCACTCACTCTTCAATTGTTGGCTTCTGTCAGATGTATTGTTGTTATGAGAAGAGTTTATCTTAGGAAATTCAAGTCATCATTGAAAAAGTAGGTCAAGATTGATATCGACAACTGATGTGATCAGATGTGCTCGTCATTCTTTCTTCCATTTTGTTTTAAAAAATTATGTTCTTCTATAGTGAACCATTATTATCTTCTCACTGATGAATACTTAACCATGTTCTGACTTGAAATTATAGTCTCTCAGTAATCTGATGAAATTAGAGGTTATGTATTGGGCACATTCTGTAATGTGTATTGGTGTAGATGGAAAAATTCAACATATTTCTGACATTAATTGACAGTGTATTATTGAAAGGAGAAAACTGTCTTCATGCTCTCAAACTTTCTCTCCCATGTATAGGAATAAACCATTATCTTTTTTAGTTTTATATTGTCTCCACGTTTGTTTGTTTTTTTTATCTTGACTGGATTCTATCCACCGACTGGTCACATCAGTTGTTGATGTCATATGTTTGCAGCATTAGCAGTTTCTCCTATTTATAAATGCTAGCCATTTGGTTTACTGTTCTAGAACCTTTAGCGACAGAGGTGGATAATCTCAGTTATAACAGGTCCAACATAATCTTATATGCTTATTTAATACATTGTCTTCTCTTTAATATTTATAGATCACTTAGGATTGTTTGTGAAACTTTCAACAATTACACCATTTTGACCTGCACAAGCTTTATTACATTTTATCTTCTGTTCTCTTTTTGAACTGTAAGGCACTTGACCCATCCCTGTCATACATTCCCACATGTTCCTGAGTTATCAGTGTGAGAACTCTAATGGAATTGGTGTAAGCTTTCAGTTAGCATTGCAACAGAGCTACGTATGCTCCATTTTTTCTGCTCCTTCATTATTCAGAAAATAATTAGCTTAAGTCTATTATTTACATCTGTATCTTCTGTTAAACTACAGAAGATATTGTTTACTTTTAGTCAATATTGTATCTTATGTATACTTACCTTAACAGTCAGCTGCACTTCTCACTACATTATATGTATAATTAACTACTACATACCTTGTGCTTTAATACAGCTTGGCTGATCATATAAATGTCTTTCCTTACAGCCAAACTTTCCAACCTGCATCATCGGACCAGGAGAACTGTATCAACACACAACAGTCTTTAAGTTTGCTATTGAAGAATGAAAGTGCCAAGAGGATGTTAGAGCACAGATGTTTGTTTTATGCATCTTTAATACTAATGATATATACAGCTGTATGGAAAATAAGAGCTTAAATTGATAAAAATGAAATTTTGTAAGTCTTCCAGAGTTTTTGTATCAACTATTGCTCACAAATGTTGCTCATTAGATTGTTTAAAGTACTGTTCTTTACTACATTAACTAATAAATATGTGTGAGACTTATCCAATTAACAAGTACCAAAATTATTTCTTACGAAGGATATGAAGATATATTTTTCTACTTGTTATTCTCAAATATGTGTTTTCTAACATAAATTACCAAGATTATTAAACGTTTCAGTAATCAAGTTAATTAAGACTTAGAGAATTTGTAAAGAATGTTTTTTATAAAGCTGCTTTTGATTTTTATAATTAAGTGTTAAGCTAAATTATTTTTTGTAATTTGGTGTATTTGCACACCTTGCACATTTGATATTTGATGTTTATAAATTGAAATATGAAACCAGCAGGTGTTATTGATTAACTGATAATTTTGTCAGAACATTTCCCTTTCTTCATGAAACTTGTTTGGATTTTGGATTTTTTTCTTCAATCTTTATGGAAGCTTTTGTTTAATGACATATAATGAAGTACATAACTAAAATATATATTATTGCTATGCACCTTTTACAGTTATTAGCATATTAAAGAATGCATGTTGAAGCTTCTTTAGTTAAGGAAAGTTTTTCTAAACCTAAAGACACAATATGTAACACAATTATTTCATAGAGTATAATTTTTGCCTGTTATATTCTGTTTAACACACAAAACTGCAGCTGGAAAAACCTCGAGAAAAACCAAGCTTAAAGTTCAAAAACTGAATAAGCATTCAGCTTGCAAACATATTTTGTCAACTTCACAGGCAAGAGATGTATTTTGAATAATATTCTTCAGTTTCTGGTGTTTTACTACAATGCCAAGAATATACAAGTGAAGTTTCATCTAGAGAAACTCTTAACCTTAAATAAAAACATTGTATCTAAACACTTGTATTACTGTTTTTTTATTTAAAACTAATAGTATTTCACTTTGAATATGATAATGAATTTAAAAGAATCTTTTTAAGATTCTTGACCTTAGTTATTTACTATGTCAGTGATTTGAAAAACCCTTACCTGTGAAGTTTGATTCCTAAATTGTTCATACATTAGTATTCTTTAAAGTGAATTCCTGTTTATTATGCTTTTCTGATTCACATGTATTTCAACAAAGTCTTACAAATCATACAATTATAAGCTGATGAAAAATGCATGCAAAAAAAACTATAACATTATTAAGCACAAGTAATAGTAACATGTTTTAAATGTATTTATTTTGTTTAATATAGTCTTTCAAGCACCTTTTGTGTCAAAAAATTTTGAAAACAGGTTTTCACTCAAAATTTAGAAGAAAATTATGAATTTTTAAAGAATAAAAGCAACATTTTTTTTCTAATACAAATTTCTGTTGAAATCAATTAAGATAGACAGTCAGATCTGACTACAAGAACATCATGTCCCATCAACTGCACATCTTACTCTTGTCACAAAATAGGTAAATGGATGTTATTCTGTGTTTTCCAAAATGTGAGTGGAGTAGAATGTCTGTCTCAGACCATTACCTTTACCATCTTTCTTTTCAAAATTACCACAATAACAATAATTAGTGGCTGATTAAATATGAATGCCTCAGCATCTTGAAATGCTTGTTAAATAAACATTTATCAGATGTTTTACATTAGGTGAAACTGTGATGAACAGATAGAATTAAAACAGTCTACTCTATTTGTCTTGACCCTGCCTTAGTATTACAATTTAAAGGGACAAAATGATTAATCAGCTGTGATGATATTTATTATTATTACTTTTCAGTGTTGTTTAATAAAGCAGATTGCTATGTTCCTTTTGAATTGTTACAGCTGATCAATCACAAGCACGGTTGCAGCTTTTAAACTTAAACTCTTTCTTCAGATTACAGTTTCCAATGTGTGTCCATGTGTTTATCTCTTCAGTGAATCTGTAGTTGTTTTTGTTGATTTAAATGGAGATGATTCACTAATCCTTGGTGTAGTCTTCAAAACTAAAGAAGCCTTCTTTTTCTCTGAGTCTGTTAAGTTCATCTGGTGCTGTTACCTTAATTTTTATAGTTGTTGTAAACCACCTTTTCTGAAACAGTATGCTTCCCTCTATGCATGCAGTAGCTATTCCTTTCATGTCTGCCTTTGAGATTTTGCACATACCACTAGCCTTGAGCTATCTCCAACCTAAGACACGTGTTATAATTTGAACAGCGCTAGTGCTTGATGTAATCATCATGCAACAATAGCCCTTCACCAATAGAAAGGCAACACATCCTCCATATGTAGTAGATCCCCATCACCACTTGCACTTGAAATTAACTTCATTCGTATCTTTGACACTGTCTTTAATGGATGGGTTCCTTTATGTTTAAACTTAATTGTGAGATTTTTGCTGCCCTTTCATAGTGTTCACTTTCTTTAGTTTCCTTTTAGATTGTTTTAACTTTGATTTAAGGCTGCTAACACTACCCTTATTTTATCTGTGATCACTGGAGGCTCCTTTACTGTGGAAGACGTTTACCACCATAGTTCATGTTCACATGAATTCTTTGATACCTTTCTTGCCTCTTTATCTGTTGAGGACAATGCTCCTCCTTCAAATTGCTTTGTTGATTTGATTACTCAGGTTTCTTGTTTATTTTCCCTTTCCCCTCTGTCTTCTGATTCTTCCTGTTCCTTACTACATGACTCTCATGCTGAAGATTATTTGGGTTTTTTTTCCTTTTCCAGGTATACTAGTCCATGTTGACACACTCTTGGATCAGCTTCATTCCTACACACAAATGCCTCATCTTTCTTAACTCCAAGATTCCTTTACTCAATTTTCCAGTCTTTGCCATTTTCTTACCCATTTCCTTCATTACCCTTCTTCTCTTCATCTCCTATCTGAATCGCTACGCCATACTTCTATTAGTTTTTCTGTTCTCCTACAGTTAGTCCTTTTCATCACCTTGGCCATGGTTTTGTCTGTTACCTTGTCCCTGTGATTACTTGGTTCCTCTGTTGTTGGGACCTTCTGGGATGTGATTCTTATCTCTTTACCATTTTTACCACCATTTGGCTCCTTTTCTTCACCTGAAGTACTCAGAGATGTTACTAGCCGAGGCTGCTCAACACCAGTCTTCCCTTTCCTCCTTGGTTCCTTGTTTCACAACCTCATGAGTCCACTTCCATTCTTTAACCCCATGAATCCTCCACTTTCATTCTTTAACCCCTATGAATTCTCCACCTCTCTCTCTTCCCATTTCTACCTCTTTTGCCATCCTCCTTTGATTATGTTCCTATTTCCTACTTCATCTTGGGGATCACTTGGTTATGACTAACTCTGACAATTCTGTGGTCGTTTCACATATTAATCCACAGGGTGGGACTTGTTCTAGGATTCTTTGCTTCCATAAATTTGACTTCTGTTTTTGGCCCCCTCATATCAGAATCATCTGTTTCAGGAGCTTTTGACTTGGTAGTGGATTGACTCTCTCTACCAGACAGAATTCTTCATAAGGAGTGGTCACTAACACCTCAGATACTTTGTTTGCTTTGTTCTCAAGTGGGCACGCCAGTGATCTATGCCTTCACCACTCCTCTCAATACCAAACTCCCCTTCTTTTGGTCCCAACACCTCACCCAGTAGTTTTGGCTGTAGATGCCCTCAGCCAGATCTAGTCTCATCTCTTCTTGTATGTGTACCCTCCTCTTTGTCTTCTCCCACAGACCTCGGTGTTGATTCACGACTATCCTTGTCAGGTCCTGTTAGTAGCATCTTTTTTGGCTGGCCCAGTCTTGGTTTCCTCCTCTTCACCAACTGTCATCCAGGGCAGCTATTCCTCTGCTTCCATCTTGGTCACTCTTGCTTCAATATCATACATCTCCTTTCACCTAGCCTGGAAGTGTTGTCCCTTCATCTTCATCAATGGGATTTGTCTGATGTCTTGCTACCCATTCAGGTTTTTCTGAACTACGTAGCTCTTCTTACATCCCATTTATGCTGCCCTTCTACTATCTCTGTCTATCAATGATAGTAGCATGTTTTTCACTGCTGGTCCACCTACTTCTCCATACCACCAGGCCATCCTACTGTTGCCAAACTCTCAGCCTTCTTTATCTGGTTGTTCTACTAAGGTTAGTTGGTTTCTTCCATTGTAGGCTACCAGGCAGCCTTATCAACTGCCTTTCGCTTTTTTTCACTATGGTTGTGTCTTTTGTCCCCTGTTCTTTCCACTTTGTTCTGGTTCTTCCTAGTTCATTGTTTCCCTCTTACCCAGACCCTGTTTGAACCCCTGGCCATTGCTGTGTCACTGATCTTCCATGATTTTATTTTTTTTTCCTAAGTAAGATTGTACCTTTTCTCCCACATCTCTTCCAATGATTTCAGCTCTCTATGATCATACTGATCCTGATTGCCTTTTGTGTCAGGTGTTACATGGAACACATGGTTCCATTTTGGAGTTATTACAATAATTTATTCTTTCCATGGGATCCATCTTCTTCCAGAGGCCTCTTTGTCCGCTACACCAGTGGTTCCAAAACTCTTAGTTTGAGGCTCCCTTGATGTGAATAAAAAAGTTTGAGCCCCCCCACAACCCTATGTAATTTGTCAATTTCAAAAAATAATATCTTAAAAAACGATATCTTTAAAGTTCTTTTTCTATTAAATTGTATGTTTGTAATTTAATATGGCCATTTCTTATCAATTTGTATGTATTATAATTAGACCATTAGCAATTTATTATGTTTGGATTAAATCTGTAGACTGATGAGCAAATAAATACACACTTAATTTTATGTAAGGTTACCTTATTTTCATTTTAAAATATGAAGTAATCCTATAATTTAAATATTTCAACATAATCTTTATCAGCTTATTGTTTATTTAGAATTACAATTAATTCAGCATCTTTGTTTTTGGGCCCATTTTCTGGTGGCCTCCCAGAAAAAGCTTCATGGCTCCCACTTTGGAAAACACTGCTCTACACTTGCCAGATTGGTTTGTCAGCTCATCTGGATCATCTGCTCCTTCCTGGATGGAGATACTTGCTGTGGCTGTATCACGACTCATCATATCAAGTCCACCACTTGACTCACTCTTTGGCCTTGCACTGTTGACAACCCTTGGATGAGATCATCCAGGCTGAAATGTGGACTTTGCTCAACATTTTCATCTCCCATTATCTCCACCATCTAGCTGTTTCGTTTCCCTCAGGATATCACCTCCCTTTCAGTCACCATTCTCCATTTAATTAACTATCTTTAACCTTCTCGTTATGGAATGATCCAATTTTATGTCATGAACTTTTACAGAGTTACATTCATAATTTAATTAAACTGCTTTATTATCAATGTATACCAATAAACTTGGCATCAAAACATAGTTAAAACATACAATTTTAATGTTATAAAAGTTTTAAGCTCTTAATTTTATTAGGAGATATTTAAATAAATCCTCAATCTGTCTCCCCTAGTATGAAATTCGTGACATTTGTTCTATAGGTCTTCCCCCTTCTTCAAGATGTACAAAATTTAATAAATTACCCATTGTAATATAGTTATTACTAAGGCAAAGTTTAATTTTTATAACCTTCATTCTTTGTTTACAGAGGCATAAACTAGAAAATTTAGGCCCACCTGTTACACCCGCTGTTTCACAAGTTGCCTATAAATCTCTTATTTATGACCAATAGAAAAACAAAGTTTTAATCTGTCAAATGATGTATTGTGCTACATTGTTTTCAGTACAAATTATTATCAGTTTTATCTTCAGTTTTAACGTTTATCTCATGGTGTTCAAATAGAGTAGCTAAGGGAATTATTTTAAACCCCTCTTATATTTGTTAGAAAGCCAGATAAATTTTAATAATTATAGGACATTGCTTTGTGTGTGTTATTTCTGTGTGTTCTTAGGTGCATTATTTAAGTAAATAAAAGTTTAGTGTGCTAGTACAATCGTTATAAAAAGGTAGGCTTAAATTTAATTGGTAACCAACAGCAAAAAACAAAAGGTCAAATGTACGTACTAAATTTTTGTTTTTCATGTATTTTTTTTATGGTTATAAAAATAACTAAAATGTAAAAATTACAAACTAATGAGGTTAAATTAGATACTATAATGAAAACAAAAATAAAAATTATTCACAAGGTATGCTTGTGAGGAACTTGTGCATCACATCATTCAATAGGGTAACGTGAGCTATGTGATCGCAGAGTGATTTACAACTTGTATGGCAGGATTATTAGTTGGACACAGTTGAATGGGCAGTAACAAAATTAATTTGAGTAGAAATATATGTAAACTGTTATGAGCTTTAAGCTATTTAGGATAAACAATTTTAGTTTTCTGTTAGATTTATTTAGTATTTTTTATGGTGGTTACAAGGTCTGTCAAATC